TGTCTCCTGAGGTTCCTCCCCAGTGATCAGCCAGCTCACAAACTGAGCTGGGTGTTACAACCACAGCCACAGAAGTTTGTCGTGGTCTTTATGGGGTGTGTGCTGTTAACAGCATTCTGTCAGGTGGTAGGGCAATGGAGCTGGTGAAGGGTCTGGGGCACAAGTCCGACAGGGAATGGCTGAAGGTGGGTCAGTCTCAAGAAGAGAAAGCTCAGGGGAGACCTTATTGCTCTCTACAACTGCCTGAAAGGAGGCTGTAGTGAGGTGGGGTCGGTCTCTTTTCCCAAGTAACAAGTGATGGGACAAGAGGAAACAGCCTCAAGTTGTGCCAGGAGAGGTTTAGACTGGATATTAGGAACCATTTATTCACAGAGAGCATGGTCAAGCATTGGAACAGGCTGCCTATTGCAGTGCTGGAGTCACCATCCCTGCGAGTGTTCACTCACCATGGAGATGAGGCCCTCAGTGCCATGGGTCAGTGGTGCCCTTGGCAGTGCTGGGCAACGGTTGGACTGAATGAGTTTAAAGGTCTTTTCCAACCTGGTTGACTGTATGATTCTATTCGATGATTCTCATTATTCCACACACACACGTTGCAGTTGTATGGGAGGAGGGGGGGAGAACCTCACAAAACGTGTACGCCTGCCAGAGGTCACTGCAAACCGTGGGAGCAGCATGCACCCGAAGGGGCATCTTCCCAGCGAGGCAATGTCCTCTGAGGCACTCATTAAGACATCCCAGGATGAGAAAGACCCACGGAGGGGCAGAGGGGAGGCGACCCCTCCGGCCCCAAGCTCCCCGCCGAGCCGTGCGGCCGCCGGGCACCGCGGGGAGCCGGGGCCGTGAGGAGCCGGGGCCGGTGCCTGAGGGGCCGCGGCCGCTCCGTCCTAACCCTGCACTCCTCCCGCCCGCCTCGCGCGGCCCCGCTGGCAGCCGCCTCCCATTGGCCGCCGCTCGGCGGTGTCGGCCAATGGGCGGCCGCGGCTGCCGGCCGTTGGAAGCGAGCCGCGGCGGCCGTTAAGCGCCTCACGGGGCTGGGGTAGGGGGGGCAATGGCTGAGGGCGCCTCAAGGGCCCCGCAGTGCTGCTGGCCCCCTTCGGGGCAGCCTTCAGGGCGCCGTGCCCTCAGTCACCTTCCCCCGGTTGTGTGTCGAGCCTGTGTCGTCCCTCCTTAGGTCCTGTGGCGCCTGGTGCTGGAAATTGTAAATCCAGGTCCTTGGCGCGGATGCGTGATGGAAGGAGGTTTCCACAGTGAGCTGTGCCTCAGCCTTGCTGGGACTTCACAAAGCACCGAGGACATGGCGGCTGCTGCCACCGAGGGCTTGTGGCACCTTTGGTTTGAGGAGAGAGAAGTAATGGCACAGCAGGCCTGTGAGGAGCAGGCCACCATGGCCATAACCTCTCCTGCGCCTCATTCTGCATTAGTCAGCAGTAATCCTGGGCCTGGTTCCAGATCAGGTTCAGTCAGATCCTCCATCACTTGGAGGCTGGGTGACAGGGGAGCTGACAAATAAAAACTGGTGATGAGGGAGGGCATTGGTGACAGTCTCTGAGAAGGACTGGGGGGTGCTGTTGGTCAGGATGCTGCCCCGCTGCTGGTGAGAAATAGTGGGGTTAGCAGGTGGTTTGGGTGCTTCAGGCATGCCATGCAGAAAACAATGGGGTAGCTGGTCAGTGGCGAGCTATCCGGGCAGTGGGATAGCAGCAGGGAGGTGTGGTGTGTGAGGGGAGAGACCAAGAGCAATACGAGTCAGCACAGAGGGGTTTGGGAGAGCCAAGAGCTGGCTGGATGAGCACTTGTGCCCCTCGGGGGGCACAGGCACTGACTAGACTGTCAGAAGCGTGCGCAGCATCTGTCCATCCTGCCTGGATCTTGTTAACGCTGTCAAGATCTTCCCTTTCATAAGGTCTAGAATCCACTGTATTTTAAAGAGAGCAGAAGGACTGTCTGGAGTGTACGGGCTCTTCTTTCCTGGAATGTAAAGGAAACCTCGGCTGTGCAGCTGGAGTGCAGGGGGCTTCATTCCTCAGTGAAAGCAGAGAAGGGAAACGCAGATGTCACAGCTGGGACAGGAGATTTATCTTGGCAAGCAAAGAGGAAAAATACTTTCAAAAAGAAAAGAGAAAACTCAGAAGAATCCCCTCCCCATCTGCACCGCCTGCCAGCACGAGCACAACCTCCAACCTGCAAAGGCCCTTCGTCTCCTGGGCCTGGGCTGCCGCCCAGCTGGATTAGCCCCTCGCCGCGTTCTCTTTGGAGCGAGACCATTGTGGTGGGAGCAGGGAGGCTGTGAGAACCAGGCTGATCCTGAACGGGAGATCGTCTCCAAACAGCTCAGCTGGAGGTGGGAAGGGGAAAGTCACAGTCCAAGGATGGAAGCGTGAAAGAGAAAAGGAGGGATAGACGCAGCCAGGGTGACCACAGAGAAGAAGTGAATCCAGGGAGAGGAAACCGTTCCCTCCTCAGCCATGTGTGGTGCCACTGGGCTACAAAAGTGACACCTTAAGGCCTTCCATGCGCAGTGGGGCAGGGGAAAAGGCTTAATGTCTCTTGGGACCCCCCAGAGGTATAATGCCAGCTCTGGGTGAGGGGAAATGGAGAGCTTGCACTGGAATATCTGGATGCTTTACATTAGCTCCCAGGATAACTGTTGTACACCAGGAAAGGGTGTTCAAATGAGGAGTGCACGCACGCACATACAGTGTGCTATTTAGACAACCCTACGCATGAGGTCAGGATGAAAACATGTGGTGGAAATATGTTTGGAAGAGTCAGGGCCTGTGTCGGTCACCAGGAGTGGGAGGGAGCAAGAGCCAGCAGCTGACAGATTTGCACTCTTTCTCCATGGCTGAGGTGGCCTCAGCCCCATCAGATTCTCCTGTGGCACCAGAGCAGCTTAGGGCTCTCTGACAGGCCTGGGGATGTGGTGGTCATTGCCTGCCCCATACCTCTACATGCTGGCTCATCCCATTTGGGTGCTGCCTCCCCATCCTCCCAGAGCTGATGTGGGGGGCCAGACAGCCAAAAGTGGGGCTTGGATCAGGATATCCAGCACATCCTCACCATTGTGTTTCTGTCCCTTGGCTGCCCCCTTCCTGACTGCTCACGGGTAATACAGCTTTGGAAACACATCTCGTGCTATTTCTTGGCTTTGGAGCATAGTTAGAAAGAGAAGGAAGGAGGGTGTGAAAGGGAGGGGGAGATAGCAAGAGCAAATAATGCAAAATGAGACTGTGCTGTGAGCTTCCCATCCCATCTGGAAGCTGTGTTCCCCCAGTATACTTCACACCCGCTCCCTCTGGAACAGGATGGTAAAGATCATGTTTCCCAGTTGACTGGTCTCCCTTGCTTAAGCCAGGCCCATCTGTGAAAGCTACTTGAGATATCTTAAAGGAGAATCTCAGTAGAGTTGTAGAGTCCTTCATTGTCACGACTGGAAATTCTTGGCCAACTCTCTGAGGAGCTGGAGCTGACTGATCTTCTTCTGGCTGGAAGGTGCTTTCGAGAGGCTGTGAGAGGATCACCCTGCTCTGATCATAAATCTTTGTCCATCCCACCTTCATTCATATCTGAATCCTGTGGATTCTTTCTTGAACGAACAAGTGCCACAGCACTGGCAAAAGTCTTCCCAAAGCCCAGCACAGTCTTTTCTGGTAGCACATGAAGGCCTTTAGCTTTGGGGGAGAAGGGAGGGCTAGTGGCTGCCCAGCAGTTCCGTTGGCATGTGAGCTTCCAGCCAGGAGAAAGCTAGAGTTCATGTGGCCAGGTGATAAATCTACTCCTGTTTATCGCTCAGGAACTTAGAGCACTGACCCTTCCATGATGTGCTACGATCCACACGGGCCTGAGACACCGTATGCTGGGATGTGCGGCTCCCTGGAGCCTTCTCTCTCACATGCATTAAGGAAGAGCACAGCTGAAGCCTTCTCTGAATGTTGCCAGATAGGAGCAGCTCCCCCAAAGAGAGTGGGACAGAGTTTGCATATTCTGGGTTAGCAGGCTTGATCTAAACTATTTAGCAGCCGTCTTGATGGCATCTATCCAACATAAGCTCTGGGCTGCTCCCCACTATGCCCATCACAGTTGGATCTGGACAAGAGGACACATTTTCCTGTTACCATGCGGTCGCATGCATGCACGGCTGTCTTTACTAATCAGAAATCTAAAGTTAATAATACCTGTTGTCATCAGGAGAGCACAGAGCCAACCCAAGAGACACAGCAGTCTTCATGGGACGTGGTGGCTAGCTTCCTGCTTGTCCTGTAGTTTCCATTGTGGATATAGACAGCTACAAAGCCATGTCATTATCTTTGTTTGCGTTACCCTGCTTTCATCGCATGGCCTCTGCCTCGTGCCACCTTCTTTAAGTAAAATAGTGACCTCCAGCTCTGTGACAGCTCTAGGTGCTCTCCCTCTTTGAGTGTGCCTGATCCCTGATGCCCCCTTTGACAATAACTATAGTTATTCCCAATCTTACAGGCTAGCTTCCTTCTTCCCACCCTCTGTGTCTGGAAATGTTGGAACAGTGTATGTATGATTGGTGAGAGCTGAAGGGCAGCTGCTTCAATGAGAAGGCTTTGCCAGTATTTAGGTACACTGGAGGATAGGACCCAGGAGCCTAGACTGGGCTATATGCCCCAAAATGTCTGGATTCCCAGGAAGTCTCTGCTTATCACCCATGTCTTTCCCATACTGTGCTGTAGGTCTCCATCTCTTGGGGGAGAACATCTCTGGGAAAACAGTGTTGCCTTCATCCTCACTTCCAGGCAGTGAGGTCCTCCAGGAAGGCTGCTGTGTGGTGGCTTAAAGAAGAACCAGAAATATGCCATTACTCCTGCCAATGCTGATGCCCATGTTAAGGCTCCTCTACTCAGCTCCTTCCACTCATTACTAAGCTCTAAGCCCATAGCTGCTGCTGGAGAGATTTTTGAGTCTCAGAGTAAAACCAGTGACACATCTCTGCCTCTTACCTCCATCCTACAATAAGACAGTTGACTGATCAAGAGGTCCTTGTTCTAAGCATGGGTGGGATACTGCTAAAAGATAGTATGTGGAACTACTGCATAAGTGCACCTTCTTGACTCTCTTCACTCCCACTCTGCCTTTGTTAATACACAGCTGTGAAAGAAATGGGAAGCATGTGGCAGTCGCAGCTCTCCCTGCAGCTGTCCATCCAGCTCTGCTCCTCTTCCAGGGTTCCAAGGTGGTTCTAGTTTTGGTTAAAACAGTACATCTGATTTGAGTGCCTCTTGTTGGGTCCTGGCTCTGCTGTGCTCTCGTGGTGCACTGGCAGCCAAATCGCTGAATCCCTTCACTTCTCTGTGGTTGTGTTCTCGCCCTTACCATAAGGCTATCATATTTACATCCTGTGTTTGCTTGTGTTTAGAGAAAGCAAGACAAAGAACAGCTGCTACACTAGCAGGCACTCTCTGGGGTTAATGCTCCAAACTCTTTACTCCTTGCTGTAGGATAGGACAAGCCCTGGTTTTCCAGTGCTTTTAAAGATAAATATCTAACACAGTTCCATCTGCTGACTCAGCTCCCTCTGAAAAACAGTTGTGCTCAGCACAGATGGGAGGTGTTTTCTGTCGCTTGAGTCAAGGGCAGAAATGCTTCTAGGCAATTTGGAAATGGCTGGGTAGGTTTTACCAAGCTATCCTGCCAACTCTGCTTCCGGCTTGGGAACAAGTGGAGAAAACTTCAGCCCAGACATCCCAGGGAGGGCCTCAACACTGGGATTTAGCATGAGTGTGCCTTCTCCACCTTACCTACACATGTAGTGTCTGCCCTCCCAGGGCTGGCTCACTCCTGGCAATGGGAGGACAGGACAAGTGGGAAGGAAGCAAAGGGAGGGAAACCTTGTGTCAGGGCCTTCCCCCCACTTCCATCATGCTCTGTGAGTGTCTGAGTTTTTACGTTGAGTGGCTGAGGGGTGAAGTTGGATGGTGAAGGGCACTGGTTCCCTCCCCTGCTTGGTGGGAAGTGTGGGTCTGTTCAGCTGCTTCACTCCCCAGCCTCACCCCAACCCTCTGCCAGCCAGCGTAATGTTGACAGAGTGGTACTGTGCTCAGGTAAAACAAATAGGAGCAGGAACCTGCAAGCTCTAGCATCCGGGGTCCTTTGGCCAACTCCTCCCTCAGTTCTAGCGCTGCACACACCTCATGCTCCTTCCTGAGCTCATCTCTCACACTGGAATTCATTGGCATTCATATCTCCAGTCTAGGACCTGTGTGCTGTCTCCCCCTCTCTCTCATCCATACCCTGTTTTCAGTATGCTGCTTTCAATGCCTTTCTGCCCACCCAGATGCTTTTCCAGGCAGGGGGGACCCAGTCTGAGCCTGCCGAGCTCTCTCCAGTTCATTTAAGTTACACAGTTCCGTCTGTGTAATATAGTCACTTGACTGTATCTGTCTTTTCTTTCCTCTCCCTGAGCCAGAAGCCTCAATCTGCCAACAAATGGGATAATTTTTCAGCTGGTGTTTGGCAACCACCATTTTTCTCCCTGCCCAACCAATGCTTTGTTGTAGCAAATGGAAAAGTTAGTGATTTGACTTCTGAATAGGAGGATATGCCTCAAAGGAAGCAGGTTCCCTGCAGCATCAGGAGCCCGGCTCTGCAGCAGCACTGGCCAGATTTACTGACTGTTACTGGAATGATTAGTGGGATGATTGTTTGTTGTTAACAGCCCATCTGTAGTGTTTAAACTTCATCGGGGAGCTGAATTTCACAGGCATTATCTGGCTGCAGGACAGCCTCATATGGTCCACAGAGGGGCTGTGAAATCCCAGAGGAAATGAAATACAACAGGGGGTCTTCCTGTTATGTCGATCCAACTGATCTTTTTGGTTTTTTTGCCTCTGATAGAAATCAGCAGCTGGGTTAATGTTCTCTGGGGCATTGGAGTGCCTATTGCTGCTGGCAGAGAGCATGAGAAAGTGTCTGTCACCAAGGACAGGTGCTGAAGATGGTGATTTTCTGCCACACTTGCATTTTGTCATCACAGGGATTTCTTGCCTTGTGCTCTATTCTGCTTGTTGTCACAGTGGAGGGATGCTAGGAAGCCAAAGATAGGTACCGCAGAGGAAGGGGGAGATGTGAGAATAGAGAGTTGCATGAGTGTTTGTGGCATAGATAAACAGGCAGAGAAGATGTACAGCACCACAGCCCTTTCTATCTTAATTCAAGGTGGTTTTATCAAACTGATGCAGGCAAGGGATAGGAACTGCTTTTTCTCACCCAAAAAGGAATGTGGCTGAGGTTTGCCTCCCAGTACAGAGGAAGGCACTCAGATCCCTCTTGGAGTTGACACAAATGCTCTCTCTTTGTCTTCCCTCAGCATTTCTCAGAGAACCTGGATCACTTCTCCGACAACATGGAGGATTTCTCCAACGACCTCTTCAGCAGTTTCTTTGATGACCCAGTACTGGCTGAGAAGAACCCACTGCTGGATATGGACCTGGATCCACCCACTCCAGGCATCCAGGCAGAGCACAGCTACTCCCTCAGTGGAGACTCTGCTCCCCAGAGCCCCCTCGTGCCTGTCAAGACCGAAGATAATGCTAATGGTGAGCATGAGACATGCACACTGCACAACTTTGGGCACATCTCTTAGCAGAGGCTCCAGCTGCTTCCATGTATAAGGACAAACTGGCAGTTCCTTGGGCTTGATCCACTGTTGTCAAATACAGCCCACATTTTTTCCTTCAGTTTGTGCTCTCACAGCCGCACTGCTCCTTTGCTGGGCAATGATAATTGGCTGTGGTTGGGTGTGCTGCCAGCTTCTGGCAAGCACTAGGCAATGTCTCTTAAGGACCCTGCAAACCTGGGTGTGGGTGCCCTAGATCCAGGTCTGTTTTGGCATGAAGCAGCAGGGGTTTGGATTGAATACAGGAAGCATGAGTTTCTGGCTGCAACCAGTGCTGGTACATGTGGAAAGCTAAGTGGCTTCTTCACCAGCAGATCTTTTAGCAGGAGACAAAGAGGAACAGTCATTTCAAAGCCTATTTTTAAAACAATTTGTTTCAGGATAATTTATGATGGTTGGATATTTTTAGGGCTGGCCTTGCAGAGAGTCCTGTAATTTGTGGGACTGTGTGGGTGTCCCAACAGCTGATGGGCACCAGGCTGCCTGAAAAAGCAGTGGCACAGGCTCAGTATACACAGAAGAAAGCCATTCCTTTGAGTGAGAGGAGACCTGGGACAGAGGTTTCCCTCTCATGGCTGGGAATGATCCCAGCTCTCTGGTACAAAAGGCAGAAGGAGAGGAGCCGATCCACTACCTCTTTAGTCCCTGCAAAGGTGTAGCCATCAGTTAGGGGCCACTCGGGGAGGTGCTGGGAGAGAGGCTTGTGGCAGGCCAAGCAAGCTCTGCCTTGTATCAAAAAGCTTTCCATTTGCATTCCTTTTCCCTTAGGTTTAGTCCCAATATGATCTTGGAGGGCACTCAGCCCAAAGAGGCAGCCGGGTGACTAACAGAAAACAAACCCGCATGAACAAATAAACACATCCTTATTTTTGCCCCTGCATCAGAATATGAGAGGATGAGGCTTGGTAATGGGAGAAGCAAAAAGTATGAGTTTGTAGAAGGCAGTGAAATTAAGTCTGCCCACATGAAGCTACCTCTGGGACTCTCTCTGAGACACTTGTCAACACTTCTGCTCCTCTCCTCTGTGTGTGGACATGCCCCAGGTTCAGCTGCAGTGTCTCCAAAGCAAGACCATGACTCTCTTGAATGGAGTGTGACACTGATCCTTGGGCAGAGGGCATCACAAGGTGTACAGTGCATGTCCCAGGAGAGCTTGCGATGGACCTGGCACTTGGCTCTCAGAGAGTGCAGATCAGCTCTATACAGGGAGTAAGGCCTAGTATTAATGTGGCAGGTATACAGGTATCTATGCCCCTATCCCAGTCCTGCAGTGGGATAATTCAACCCATCTTTCCAGGGCTGTCTTGACTCATAATTGGATGTGAGTCATATTCTAGTGTAGCCCTGAGTCAGGTCCAGTATTTGCAACACTGTGCAGTCCTTTTGGCACAGCTCCATCCAGTCTCACTCCTTTTAGACATTCATTTCAAATTAATTACCCAGAAACGGCTTTTCTTTGACATTAAGCAAGCTCTGCTTGGTCTGCAGAGCTCCTCAGGAATGCTTGGGCTCTGTCTAGGCTTGGAGCTGGCTGAGACTTGCTATTTATCAGCTTTCTCCCAGCTTTTCTGCAGAACTCCAAAACACTTCCAAATCCTGCCCCTTCCCACATGGTTCCCACTAACACAGGTCAGCTAGGGCAAGCCACTGGGTGCATCGTAACCCTGCTTATCAGTGGAGTCTGCTCTCCAGATGGTTTGCACATGCAGACTGCCTGCTTTGGTTCTCAGCACCAGCCCTAAGTTCTGCAGGGTGGGATTTGATGCCGGGAGTAGGGGGAGCAAAGACTGTGGGTGCTGGACCAGCCTTAGGCTGGTGCTTGCACCCCTACACAGGTCCTGCTCTGTGCGTCACCTCCTCAACCCAGGGCAGCTATGGATGTCTCTCAGCCATTACTTCTTCCCATTATGCACAGAGTATCTGGAGGAGGGGATGAGCTTCCTGGCATGCCTCACCCACCAACACAGAGTGAAACCTTCAGTGGTTCCAGACTGGCCATACCTCTGAAACATCTTCTCACTCAGTAGAACATAGATGTGTCCATGCAAAATTCCTTCTTGTCAGTCCCTCATTAACCCGCTGATGTGTTTCTGATTCTGTAACCCAATCACTCCCCAGATAAATCTCCGAGGGTGGGAAAGAGAGCAGGGTCAGAATGTAGACAGGAAATGGAAGGACAGTGCATACGTATTTGGGTGTCTGCTCCTTTGACTGTCTGGACTGACAGCACTGGGGACTGCTCTCTTGCCGAGTCAAGTCTGCACAGGGTGGTCTGCTCTCCCTTGTCTAACAATTTGCTTCAGCAGCAGCCCTCCCAGGCAGAGGATGCCCCAAGCCTCTGAGAAAAAAGGAAATACAGAGCTTTGCAACAGAAAGGGAGGATGAGGAAGATGAAGAATAAAATCAAAGTAAGACAACTTCAGATTAGCCAGAAGGCAAAACATTCCTATGGTGGGCATAGTGAAACTGTAGAAGAGATTTAATGGAGGAAGCTGTGGATTCTTCACCACCTTTCAGAAGGGTAAGATCAAGTCAGACAACCATCTGTCAGGGCTGACACAGGTTTAGTTGAACTTGCCTAGACCAGTGGGATAAACGGGAAGGCATCTGAATGTCCCTCATCTCTGTGACAGGCTGTGACCAGGCTGCAAACACCTGTGGCTATGTTAACACCTCACTTCTTTCTATCAGAAAAGGCTTGTCTGCATACCAGGGGTAACTGCTCTGCAGCACACAGAGCAGCCAGAGGAGCGCATGTCTGTGCTTGAAGATGTCCAGTCACACAGAATGAGCCTCTGCTAGAGACACCTGTCTAGGCAGCAAAATAAGAAGTGCTTGACCAAATAAATATTCCACTGGCAAGGGTGCACTGTGTTAACTGATACAATTCTTGTCCAAGCTTTAACACTAGTTTTCAAGTAATAGCCAGAGGCAGAATTCTGTCATGTCCTCTCTTGATGGCAACAGGGACTGAATTGGGGAAAGATGATGTTAAGCTTCCTTTAAGTTTAGTTCAGATGGCAGCTCCCACAGGAACAGCTACTTGCTTGTGCTCCTTTGTGCAGGCTTTTCTGGAGCTGAGAAGGACCTTTTTCACCCTCTCTTGCCAGGACATCTTCTAAACTGAGACCTGCACTGCAGAGCTGCTTTGAGCAGCAGGCAGCATCCCTGAGTGCTGAATGCAGAGTGTAGTGCAGAGGAGTCAGGGATCAAGCCTGACTGTGGTCTCATGTTCAGCCAACTAGGGCACTGTCTGGTGACACACTTAGTCTGTCCTTTGTCAAGCTAAATGAGTTTCTGCTTGTCAGATAAAAAGGCGAAGAGGAGGGATGAGGATTAGGGAGGAGGATGCAGGCTCCAGGCCAGTAGAGGAGTAACTTTTTGGCGGGCTGAAATCTTTGAAGAGCAACGAAGGGACCAAAACTTCAGAGCAGAGGCCAGGCAGCTCTCCTGCCTAGCAGGTTTTTGTTCCCATCTGAGCTGCAGCTTACCTACCACTGCCTGAATCCCAGCTCCTGGGATCTCTGGTTGCAGTGACAAGCCAGGCTCACACCACAGACGCACACAAGACAGAGCAGTCGGGGTGAGCAGAGTGTGCCAACACAGCTCCATTCACGTCTCTTCAGATCCTTCCTTTCCCTCACTGCTGCTTCTGTCCCTGCCATCAATGGCAGCAGGGCACACCTATAGGCAGCAGTGTCCCTGAGCAGCACAGGATGGAGGAGGTAAGACTAAGTGGAGCAGCCGTGGGAGCAGCCTCACAAGCAGATGCTACATTGGACTTCCACAGAAACGGACCTTCCTCCTCTCCCATCATGTAGCAAAGCTCTGGTACCTGGCACGACACCGGCAGGAGACCAAAGCAGCACTGTCAGCCTTTCACTGCCATAGTGCTTGCCCTCTCACCAGCTCTCTAGCACAGAGATGGTGCTATTGTTTGTAACCTGGCAGGTCTGTGATGTTGGCCATGCTGCCTAAGGAGCAACAGCCCTGCATCCTCCTCTCATGGAACTCTAAATAGAAATAAGCTGCAGAGGACGAGACTGAGACATCACTGGGGGAAGAAACCCCGCAGCTCTCCTCCAGTGCTTGGGCTGCACAGTCAGAGCAGAGCCACAACCCTTCTAGCTCTGTCCTGTCTGCTCCCTGCACGCTGGGGGTTCATTCCCTTTTGTACTCTGTGTTGTGGGCCTGCACATGCTTGTGTGGTGACAGTGCTAAACTTGGAAAGGCAGCCTCACCAGACGGGGGGGAAGCTGTCTGCATGGCTTTTTATTTCTCTTGTCCTGTTCTTGCTGGAGTTTGACTCTCATGTTGTGCATGTTTCAGAGCTGGAGAATGGAGTGTGGTCGCTGGGGCCCAAGCTCTGCTCCATCATGGTGAAACAGGAACAGAACCTGGCTCTAGACCTGCCTGAGTCCCAGCTAGCTGCCAGCTCCATACCAGCGCTGAACCTCAACCCTCTGCAGAGACTGCCAGTGCCCGAGGAGGTGAGCCCATCTAAAATCCATTGGGAAGCTGGGCTCTCACACAGCAGCACCCCTGATGGTGCAGGCCCTGCCATGTGTCCTGCTAGGGGATTTAGCTGCTGGCAGACAGGAGAAGGTGATGCAAAGCCCAAATACTGCATTATTTGTCATTCTCCTCTTGAAATGGCAGTCAGAGGAGCAGCACTACTGATGCTAGGTGGAACTGTTCTTGATTCCTGCAGTTAAGCTACAAGACAGCTTATGCTTCCAGAGCAAACAGTGGAAGGAAGGTTTTCTCCAGCACAGAATGCTTTACGATCTTGGTTAAATGCAAGCATATTCCCTTGGCACAAAAGCCAAAGGCTTTTCAGCTTGCATGTGCTGGAGGCCTCCAATCTGCCAGTATTTCTGTAGCCACTCTTGGCTTATTTTAATCTTTCAGAGAACAGTGTCAATTAAATGTGATGCCACTGACCCCACGATTCTTCAGTATAACCCCTGCTCTGCCAGTGCCTTTTTCATGGCTTTGGGCTTATCATATAGCCTCTCACTTATCAGTTTTTCACTGAAAGGGGAGGTCCTGCTTTGCTTTTTCCTATGAAGCAGCAGGAATCATGATTTCTAAGAAAAAGGGCCCAAGTCTTTTGGTGATATCTAAGTTCCTAAGAAGTCTGTTGGTTGGGAGGAGGCTCACTTACGCCACTGGTGATGGGTCTAGTCTGGGGGCTCATGTCTTCAATCCAACCATGTTGGAGGGGAAAGTCTGACTCCTCTCACACAGACCTTGGCTATCTTATAGCAGCTCAGTAGATAACAGTAGAGCATCTCTGGTGTTCACTTCCTTTTTTCACTCATGCTGAGCATCTTCCCATTTAAACAACCATCCAAAACAAATGGGTACTTCCAGCCAAAACTGTGCACAAACTTCCTCCGTTATTTACACAGCTTGAACTTGCTGTGCCCTCGGAGCTCTGCTCTGTGTGCTCAGCAGCCATCCTATGGTTCTCTCTCAGCTGTATTTACAGTCTGGAGGAGTTTGCAGTGTGTCTGTTTAGTGTAAAAGCTCCCCCAGACACTGGTGGGCTGGGGGCTGGTGAGCTGAGGGGCAGCACAGCCCAGATGGGAATAAATCTACTCTCTATTTAACTCTCAGCCCCCTGCGATTGGAACCAGCTGCCCAGCAGCCCTGGTGAAAATCATGTAAGCAGGACAGGGGTGGTTCTGTTGCTGTTTCTGTACAGCCTCTATCCTCCCATTTCTAATGAAGGCAGATCAAAGAGGGTAATGTATAGGTTACTTTAAATTCCACTGTCTGGGTCTAGCAGATTGCCAAGGATAAAAGTCATCTCCCTTTTGGAGGTACTCAGAGCACTGCTTGGCAGCGTATCCATCTGCCACTGCCTCTTCCTCTGCAAACATGTGTTTGCAGTCTGTGTGCCCAGCAACACAGGCCATGGGGACTTATGTTTGGACTCTTGGTTTCTATTACGTGTGGTGAGAGGCTGCTTTGGGGCAGAGCTGTGAGATGGGGTGCGACAGAGAGCAGGGGAGCAGTGGCTTGGGACCCCTCTGGGCAGGAGACGTGGCAGCACCCAAGAGCTTCTTTCTGCTTCTCTTCCACAGACTCCCATAGAAATGACTCCAGCACCTGTGATCAAAGCTGAACCCAAAGAGGTGAACCAGTTTATAAATGTACCTACAGGTAAGAAGATAGAATTTGCTCGTCAACTTACATCCCTCTATTCTACTCAGATATAGATCATTACTATGCACTGAGAAAAGGTAACAGCTGAGGGCAAAGCCATGCAAGGTAGCACTGGGACACAGCCAAGTAGAGGAGTGAGTGCTGCACTGTTCCTACTCAGATCAGTGTCTGGACAGGCAGTCACGCACAGAATTGCTCATACAGGGACTCCCAGGCAAACCAGGCTACTTCAGAGTTGGGAATAGGCAAGAGAGCCTTTAAAAGCCTCAGAGAGACTGCAGTGTTGTCCAAAAACAACCATCTGAAAGTCAGGAAACTCAGGATCCAGTTTAATTTGAAAGAAACCCAACCATCTGAAAATCTGCCGATGCACAAATGAAAGCACTATAGGAACTCCCACTGCTGCAGAGAGACATTCCTTAGGCATATTCCCACCTCCACAAAGGCCTCAGGGCTCTCCAGTACAAAGTGGGGACAGTTTTCAAGTGCTTGGAAACCAACTGAGTGACCGGAGCCCCTTTGGATCAAGCGTGCTGGCAAGTGTGTGAGCCCTGCAGTGTTTTTGGAAGAGCTCTTCTCTTACAGAGCTTCCTGTGCTTGTGAGCAAAATATCACAGGCTTTGTATTCCCTTTTGGTTGACACTGGAGTACCTTGTTGCTTTGTAAATATCTTCAGTGTGTTGGCAAAGCCCCTGCCAGCTCTCCGACTCCTGCAGTTCCAGTTTAGCACATCTGAGGTCAGCCTCACCCCTGTCTTGGGCAGTGCTCCGTCCAGCCTTGCTCTCAGACCCACCTTATCTTGTGAGACTCATCACTCTTTTCAGTCCTCTGTTATGACAATGCCTTTTCCTGTTGCTACTCAGGTCCCTATGCCTGTACCAACAGGCTGACATGAGAGTCATTGACTTGATCTCCTTTTACTTCCCAGTAGATGACCTGGTGCAGATGCCTCCAACTCCTCCCAGCAGCCATGGCAGTGACAGCGATGGATCTCAGAGCCCGCGGTCCCTGCCTCCCTCCAGCCCAGCCCGACCTGCTGCTCGCTCTTCTACTGCCATCTCCTCCTCACCTCTCCTCACAGCACCACATGTAAGGAGGCAGGAGGATGTCACTGGGACACAGGGCTCCTTGGTGCTCAGAGGGGGCTGGAGGCTTTCCAAGGCTCATGATGGGGATCCTGCTCTTGGTCAGGTCTCTGACCTGAAATGCTCTGGCGAGGCAATGCCTTAGCACAGGGAGCGGGGACAGGATGGTGCTCACAGGAGTGAGGAGAGGTGCAGTAAGTCTTGCACAGTGCCTACCAGCAGCGACCCTGCTTTAGCAAGTGCTGTTTATCACCCCGTACTTTGGGGTGCAGCCTATGCAATGCAGGACTTTCTGAGGAGGTTAAAGAAAGAGAAGGGAATAACTGAGAATTCCCCAAACCAGGCTGTGTTTTAAACATCTCCCAGAAATTCTTTGGCAGGGTCCTGCAGTGCCAGTGTGTAGCCAGCCTTACCATGAAGGAGCAGATGCCCTCCCAAGTAAAAGAGGAAAGCAACTGCTGAGCTGTACTCCAGGATCAGGTTGAGAGTAGGAAAGAGCAGTGCCCTGCACCTATTTGTACTGAGCCCTTCGCTGCTCTGCAAGACTTTAAGGAAGGTCACTGGGACAGAACTCCTTCCTGATGCTGATGGCTGCTTTCTGTGTGTTTCAGAAGTTACAAGGGACCTCTGGCCCACTTCTCTTGACTGAAGAGGAGAAACGCACCTTGATTGCTGAGGGCTACCCCATTCCTACCAAGCTGCCCCTCACCAAAGCAGAGGAGAAAGCACTGAAGAGGGTCAGGAGGAAAATCAAGAACAAGGTGACTGCAAAATACGTAATCATGCAGTTCTCATGATTCCAGAGCATGCTCAGCTGCAGTGCCACTGAGAAAAGGTGGGATCTTGCCTTTGGTACTCTGGAACAAGCCTCCCAACTCACGGAAATGGTGCCATGAGGCATTTCTGCATGCATGCTGGGCGTGCAGCTGCATCTGGGAAGTGTGGCCTTTGGTGGGACCACCAAGCTAAGGTCAGACAAATCAGCCTGGTCAGACCTTGCTGTGGGGACCGGAAAACAAGAGCATGGTGCAGGACGAGTGATGCACAAAGCTCATTAGTCAGGCAGAAGCTGTGAGACTTCAGACTGTGATTAGAAAGCATCCCCTGGGACAAATAATGAGACCCTGAATTAGTCACCCAGTGACTCAGAAGTGCTCTGGGGCAGAATCTGACCAGATGACCACAGCACGCACCCATGTGAGTCAGAGGTGTTCAAAGCATCCCTAAAGATCCTCTCAGCAGCAGGGGGACAGGCATGCTGCAAGAAATGGTTGTGGCCTGTAGGCTGCATACTTAGAGCATCAATCTCTCCCAGTTTTGGCCTGTAGACCAGTAGGAACAGCAGACTGGAAGGCGACTTCCCCATTTACCTTTAGGGTGCTGTGTGTGCAGGGAACAGACAAGATGAAGCCCCAAAGCAATGTCTAGAGGCTTCTGATACTGACTTCTCTCTGATGGCTGCCCCCCTCACAGATCTCTGCTCAGGAGAGTCGCAGGAAGAAGAAAGAGTATGTGGAGTGTCTAGAGAAAAAGTAAGTTTCTTCTTCTCAGCCTTTGAAAAGGAGCCCTGTCCATGCACAGCCCCCCTTTCTACTGCTTTTGTCTCTGAGTTGCTCAAAAGCACGATTCCTTGCAAGGCTGGCTGCACAGAAGTTTGCTTTGGGATCTTGCCCCTACTACCCTCCCTCCTAGAAATCCTACTGCAGGGTAACGATTGCTCTAGAAACCTTGTGCTTCCAGCTGCTTAGTTTGGCTGGTCCCCTGCAGAACACAGGCCATTTTGGCTGCCAGCAAGGTGGGATTTTGGGTAAGAGTCATGTTTCCCCATTAGAAATTGCTTCTATTTTGTCTGTCCCATAGGCAGCAGGCCCTCTGAGGCCACTGGCCACAGATTTTCCCCCTCTCTTTCCATAAGGGTGGATACACAAGCATTTGATAGCAAGAAAAACCTTGCACTACAGTTATTCCCCCCATTCCCTCCCCTGCATGAGCTCTGCTTTTCTCCTTGGAACCCTGAGGTCCTGCATATATGGTAGGCATAAGCCTAAGGTGACATTACATGACACTGATAGGGTGGAAAATAAGTCTTAAGGACCTAATCCTCTGATGCCTTTAGTACAAGCAGCCCCTGATGGGCATTCCCAGACAAAAAAGAAAGCCACAATCCAGGTGCAAATTCCTATTTATGTGCAAATACCATCTTGATGATCTTAAGGTCCTTTCCAACCCTAACTATTCTATGATTCTTCCCTGTTATTAACACCATGTGAGATCAGCAAAATGGAAGAAAACCAACCCCCAAACCCAACTTCAATGAGCTCTTCTCATTGATGCTATTTATTTATCTGCTCTAAGCGTGCAGAAACACTGAATGAAACCAGATGCCTCAAAGCACCTCCAAGTTCTCCTGTCCTTCCATAAGCAGCACCTCTGTGTGCATGTCCAGGCCTCAGAGCACATCACCCACAGCTCGTGTCACACCCAGATCCTTCAGCTGGGGCTGAGTTGTTGGCTGACCTCCCTCCAGTGGCAGGTCCAGAGCATCCGAGCTCTTCCCCAGCCGTGGCTGCGGTGCCTGTGTGTGCTCAGCGGTTTGTTCCGCTGGTTCGTTGCTGTGACAGATGGCTTTCAAACAATGCCAGGTTTAAATGTGAACCAAAAGCAGCATTCAGTGGATTCTTTTTAAATGGAACAAGTCTTTGGTCAATTTGGCTTCCTGGCAGAGCTGGTTTGTCAAAACCTCTGCTTGGGCCCTTCAACATTCAGTTTGACACCTTCACTGCAAGCCCAATTTTTACACGGAACGCCTGGTTCAGAGACCGTGCTGGAAACCTCCCGCAGGACCAGGCTGTGTCCCTGGCCTGCCTTCCTGCCGGCCTGGAGACACTCCCCTTGCCTCATCCCAGCCACTTTCCCTTCGAAGCCGTGGGATGGATCCTGCAGGTTCTCTGCTGCCCTCGTGTGCCTGCAGTGGGAGCTGGCCCAGCATCTGCCCGGTTTTCACACACAAGGTGCACAGCCAGGGCAGATTCTCAGAGTGGGGCAGGTTTGAATGTGTCCCCCTGTTCCTTTTCCATGCTCCTTAGGGGGGTTTGCAACTGATGGAAAAGCCTGTATAATAACTGAGTCTGTCCTGACTTGACCTGCCTGTAACCAGGTGCTACTGGCATTCCGACCTTTGGGAAAGCCTGAGCTGGGAACTGTCTCACGTTAACTGTCCACCTGCAATATCATCCCTGGTCCATTCGGGATGGCTGCAACCAGATGGGCCAGGAACATCTGGCTCCAGGGCCATATCTGCAGGTGATGGATGAGGCCACTGAGCTTCCACACACCAGGAGGGACAAGGATACACTTCCTTTCTCTGTCTGGCCTTTGTAACTAAGTGGCTGTGGGTTTTATTCCCACAGGGTTGAGACATACACCACAGAAAACAATGAACTCTGGAAAAAAGTGGAGACCTTGGAAAACGCAAACAGGTAAGAAGGGCCAGAGCTGCCCATGGTAGGGCAGGGGGGCAGGAAGGGAAGCAGGGGGGGAGCAGAGAAAGGCAGCTCCCCAGCTCCTGGCAGCTCAAGCGCTGCTCAGTGAGGCGCTGGGTTTGAGCCCATGACAGCAGCTGGGTTTGGTTAGAGAGCCTGGAATGTTTGTGTTGGGAAAGCCAGTCTGCTCCACAGCAAGCGGAGGGAGGGAAGGAGCATTTCTCATATCCCTTCCTCCTTCTCCCTGCAGCCCTTTGGGCTCATGCTGCCCTCCCCTTGCCCTCCAGCCCTCTGGCCATCTCCAGGGCAGCTGCATTCCCTGTGTGAGGGAAGCCCCTCACACCAGCTTCTCAGACCCACTGTTTCTGCTCTTGGGCTCTTAGGAGGAATATAAGGCCCTGGACACAATGTGGCTGTGTCAGGTTTCTCTTGAAACAGACTTGGTGAATATAGGGGAAGCCCATTCCCTGAATAAAGGCAGAGATCCCAGCTGCCATCAAATCCAGGGCAACCCCTTTGTGCATGTGGTACCCTGGCCTCTGCCCTGCCTCTTCCCCTTGCAAAACAAGCCCAGAATCTCCCTCCCATCTGCTGCTGCTGATGTTCACCTGAAAGGAGCAAGCTTCCTTGGAAGCAAATATATAGATTCCCACCCTTGCCTTGGGAATGGGCAGGAGGAACTGAGCCCAACTCCGCTCCCTCTTACTGGTGGCAGCACGTGTGAGCAAGGGCAGTCAGCTGCAGGGCTGGTGAGCTGGGCACTCATATTTATAGCCCCATTTCTATCACCCCAGCGGAAATTGAAGGGGAGAACTGCAGCTAGAGAGCCAGTCCCAACCCCTTCCCCCCCACAGCCGCTGCAGCCCGTGGAGCCAGGAAATTATTAGGGGTTATATTGTTAGAATACACATTGTGTTCTTTCTAATTGGGTTTGGTTTTTGAGCGCTGCCAGTGGGACACTCTGTGCTTCTCTCCACATTTCAAAGAGCAGAAGAGGATTTGGAAAGAGAGAAAGCTGGGATTCTCCTGCAATCTCCTGGCTCCAAGACCTGGCATTTTATAAAAGCTCAAACGTAGTTGTGTTAAACAGTCAGTGCTCTCAAGGGGAAGCATGCAGTACTCTGCATGTGAGTAACTTGCAGCCCTGGGGAACTGTGTGCTCCGTAGTCTCCCTCAACCCATATTTCTCCACCAGCCTTGTGAAGGGTTTGGTAGCTCAGTAACACACCTACTACTGGTTTGTATTTATGTGTGCCAGTGCCCAGGTGCAGTTAAATGGGGCAGAGAGACCTTACGACATGTTCCAGGCACGGCAGCCAGAGAATGAATCTGAACTCAAGATCTGGCTTTGCCCACATCCCTGTGCAGGGTTTGCCAAAACTGAAGAAGCTGGAGGGGATTACAACTGTTTTCTATTTCTCTCTCCACCATTGGGGCACAGGTTGAGCTCCAAAGTGTGTGTCTGAGTGGAAAGGGAGCAAGTGGGTCTGTGATCTAGGTTCAGTCTCCATCCCAGAGCCTGGTTTTCATGGTAACCATTGCCCTGGGAGGTGGCTGCCTGGGCTTTGAGGCACCCAGAAGTCCTAAACGGGTCATTCATAATGGTGAGTAGTTGCAGTGAATGTTGGTGTAGATCTGCTAGTGAGGAGACAGCGTGGGTTACCTTAATGTCACAGCATCTTGGGGCATTCCTACTGCAGTTCCTCCACACTTTATATCTCAAACTCACCCATTTTTGTTTCCTGCTTCCTAAGCCTGTTTGGTTGGAGAAATTGAGCAAGATGTAGCAAGGGTGATACAGTTGTTTTCACAATAAGAGAAAATCAGGGTAATGTATGAAAGGAGTACTGGTATTCTTGTATCCTTATCAAGTTGTGGTTTGGGTTGTTTCCTATCACAGGACTCTGCTCCAGCAGTTACAGAAGCTGCAGGCTCTGGTAGCTGGGAAAGTCTCCAGACCCTACAAAATGGCTTCCACACAGACTGGGACCTGTCTGATGGTATAAGCTTCATTTCCATCCTCCTTATGGGCCATGCTTCCCCAGCCAGCTCTGTTGATTGCCTGTCTCTGCCCTCTTCCCCCTTGCTCAGCTCTGTTGCCAGTTACATCTGTCTCCTTTTGTGTCACAGTCACCAGAACTGGGCCCTGTATCATAAGTCCATGGGTAGTGTCAGCTGTTAATGCAACAGCATTAGAATAATTCCTGCATTTTTACTGCCTTCTCTGGGCAAACCAGTGCTTTGTTTGCTTTGCATTAGCTATTGGCCATTCAGCAAAAATCTTCAGTGAGTTTCCATCATAATGGGGAGAGTTTTCTTTTGCTCAGTTGGTGATGCTTAATGTTTAAACCAGCAGGACAGGCCAACAGTTCAAGTATTCTTCCCAGTGGGCATTACCTTGTGTTTATCAGCAAGAAATAGCATCTGTTCTTGCTATGTCTGTACATCAGGCTTTGTTAAGTCCAGCTGGAATTCTCTTTGCTCTTTTTGACTAACCAAAATGATTTGGGGTTGTCTGATCATTTTGGTAATCCTGTTTGCCTCTCCTGTATCATAATGAAGCAATATTGGCTTCACTGTGGAGTTTTGGGGCATGCCAGTGTGTGTGTGGCCATAGATAAGAGTCAGTTGCTTATTCTTCATCTGATTTTTTTGCTAGGGTGAAAGTTTCTGATCCATGGTAAGAATATTCAACCCCGTGATGTCCTTGCAGCACTGTCATAGTAGTTGTGAAAACTTTGTCAGAGTTAGTTATTAACATCTAGAAATCACTTCAGTACTGTTAACAGGCATGAAATGCAAGCAGATGGTGAGGTGCTTGCCCCACTTTCTCAGTACTCCAGTGTCCTGAGGGGTTCTTTTTCACTCTTGGTTCAGTTCCTTGGTTCGAGAGCCCCTGCTCTGTAATTTCCAGCACTTTCTCCTTCCAAAATCTGCTCAAACTTTTGCTACTCTTTGCTGCCCCCGTGTCAGACCAGATTTTAATGCCTGACTCTCTTTCCTGTTGGCTGCTTTGTGGCTTCATTCCCAATTTGTCTCCACATTTTCGGGTGTGACCCAGCTGAGCCCAGTGACTCATTGCTCCTTAATGCAGCAGCTCATCAGAGCACCCCTGGCTCCTGAAATCCTTCATTGCTACTACCTGGAATGAGCAAGTCCAGAATAGGAGCCCTCCAGACATCCCCTGCACTACAGGCTGATAAAATACCTAGTTTAGCTTCCCAGCAATGTCTTATCTCTCCTTGCTGCTCCCTTCATTCCACAGCATCCCAGCCCACACACCAACTCTCTCAGGCTTCCTGGCTCTAAAGCATTCAAAGAATTTGTCATTTGCTTTTCTATCTTTGGCCGGTTCCTCTCATAGGCCCCCAAGTTCCCATTTCCAAATACAGCACTCCTTATCACAACAGATATGTAGAATCATCATGCCTTGCAGCATGGGAGTGGAGCAGAGCACCCTTCTTTTTTAGCCCTGTGTCATTCCTGCTGGATATTTGTCCTTAAAGGCCTCCAGTGATGAACAGAACTCAGCTTCCTCAAGCAAACCATTCCAGTCCCTTGTTACCTTTCTCAGATGAAGCTTTCTTGCTATCTCAGTCTTCCTTGCATCAGCTTAAGCCTATTACAACTTCTGCCCACTGTAAGCATGATGAGTTTCCCCTCTCTTTGTACAGCTGTATTTTACGTATTTGATAACTATGGTTTTTGAGCAACTCTCTTCAGTCTGCTCTGCTAAATCACCACTCTTTCTTCAGTCTTCCCTTGCAGGCTGAATCACTACTTGTTCCCAGACTTCCAGACTTTTTCCAGTTGCCCCACATCTTTTTGGAAGCACAGGGCCCAAAGCTGGACACAGTGGTCCACCTGAAGGCTGGTACAGAGCCAGCCAGAAAGCCTGTTCATACTGCATGGGCTGAGATTTGTCCTTTGCAAAGTGACACTGACTTATTCCCACCATGTGCTTCATTTTAACTCCCAGATCTTCTTCCACCTGGCCACAAAGCCGTTGATGTGCTTCCTCTGTCAACCAGTCCTGCCACCTCCAGGATCTCAGCAAGTCTTGACATTTGTCTGTACAGATCTGCTGCTGTTCTCTTGGACCACTTCTCCCCATGGTCAAGATCATTCTGAATTTGAATCCTGACCAAAAGCCAGTCTGCTTGCAGGCTTTCCCATCTGTAGATCTGACACAGTCCATCATTCAAGCCAAGCTTAAAACTGTTGAATCTTGCCAGAGCCATAACAGAGCTCTCTGCTCCTCCATCTGCTGCTTCCCCTCAGTTTGACAGTGAACCATGTGAGAACTCTGCTTTCAGGATGTCTTTTTCTGATTCATTTGGTCTCCACCCTTCCAACTGGTTTTGCAGTGGTTTCCCTCACATTTTAAGAGGGCAAAACAGTGAAATTGTCAAAAGCTGATGGTCAAAGTCAAACCAAGAGTTATGAACTGTTGTAGTTTGAACTGGAACCGAATCAGAGCATCAAAGTTAACCTGAAACAAAACAGAGTAAAACCAATGCTGGTTTGCACAGTCCCAGCTGAAAGCCATGTTAAAACAAGCTGTTAAGTGTACTGCTCTTTCCCAGCCTTTAAAGCCTATATTGATGTAGAATAGAAGAACAGGCTTCACAGGGCTGGCTCCCCTTTCTGGGAGCTGTGTGTTTGGCTGTGATAATTCCAAACAACATCTATTCAAAGTTTATTTTTCCTTCTCTTTTTTTAGTGGAATAAGAAGTCTCAATGCCTTGTGTGCCTGATATGTGCTTAGACATTTAATTCCCTTACTTTAAAGCCAGCCATGAAGAATGAACAATCAAAATCCCTCTTCACATAGCACAGTGTCTCCATGGTGTTATTTGATCTTTCATGTGTCCTAGAATCCACTGGTGGTCAAAATTACCTTGATGTACCAGCTTCTGTGTGTTCCTTAGGCATGGCTATTCCTAAATGGGTGGCTGTTCTGAAAAGCAGTCAAGCAATTGCTGGCTGTCCCCACAGGTGTCCCCACAGGTCAAATTTAGCTGGTTTATACATAGATGCATTGCCTCTTTGAAATGCTCAGTCTGAGCACAGAGCTAGCAGCAGCTATACACCACCCATGGCACATGGGTGTTCAGGTAACAAGCATTTGGCTCTGTATTGTTTCCCATGTGTCCCCTCTTGCTCTGTACTGGTAGTTCCCTAAACTTGATAGAGTTCTTTATGATCAGCACTGGCATCTCAGTGTGAAGCCTTACTGTCATGGCAGAACCTTCCAGAGGGGAATTTCCAGGGAGCTTTCATCTGCCTCTCTCCTTTCATCACTGTCCAGTAGCTCTGACTGGTCTGCCTGACAGCAGAAGGTACACATGGTCCTGAATATGTGCATGTCAAGCATCAATACCCTTTCCTTGGACTATCATTGCTATCAGGTGGCTGCAGTTCTGCTGTCATTTCTGTGGACAGTGGCTTCACCTTCCTGGGTGCTGTGGTACCTCACAGATTCCTCCCAGTAAGCTTCTTTTCTTACAGCTCCTACTGAGTCCATGGCCAGGTTCCCTTTGGTCAAGGCATAGTTCATCCCTTCTGTTGAGTCTCCCTCTTTCTCACCTAGTTCCCCAGCTATGCCTTTCACCATCTCTCATCAACTGGACAGGCAAGTTCTCACCACTGAACCAGAAATACTTCAAATAAAGCAGCATGAGGAAGCATCTGACTTCCCTTCTAAGATTTGCAGCAGAGATAGGCACAGCAAGCCCTCTCCTTCTGTGAAGGACCACATGGAACCCTGTTGTCAGCCTGACCACATGCCTTACGTCTGTGTGCTTGGGGGGAGTGTTTCTCCAGGGCTAGCAGCACTAACTCTGCGCTGATCTCCTCCCTAGGTGCTGGCACTCTGCTTCGTTCTGATCCTGGGATCCCTGATGCCCTGTCTCCCCGAGTTCTCTTCAACATCACAGACAGTGAAAGCAACACCAGCACCAGACATTTACACAACTAGTAAGAGTGAGTCTAATGTGATTCCTCCATTTCACCCTGACAAACCATTTCCAGCTCTTCTCTCAACATTCCCAGTTCAGGGATAGCATCCTCCTCTCAGTGCCTACCCCGTATGCTGGGGCTCTGGCCTGTCAGTGGTACAAACTCTGATAACAGCTTCATATTTGGACCTGTTGCAGTTCCCTACTAACCATTGTCCCAAAACATGACAAGTGTCAAAGGAAGGAACATGAGGAAAGAGTCCTGGGGCAGATTGATTGTCATTTGAAGAGGCTGTGTGCAATAGGGGGCATTTGCCTCCTGAAGCTGGGGGGAGGATGGGTATCCTGCAGAGCACATGGACAAGGCCATAGCTGGGTGAGCGTGTGCTGAAACCACCACTGTGACTCACACCCATAGCAAGAGAACTTGTCCTCATTGCTAACCAGCACTCTCCTCTTTTCCAGTTCAGTCACGGAGCCTCCTCTTCTATGATGAGGGTGCTGGCTCCTTAGAAGAGAGCTATAGCTCCTTCCTAACAGTGGACCATCCTGAGGGGTGGGAGCCTGAAAAGGGGCAGTCTGAGGAGGGAAGACCTCATCTGGCCAGGACACATGAGGCAGCCAAATACCTGAGCAAATCCCACCTGGAGAATCCTGACCAGAACATAACTGACCCAACTCTCACCCACCTCAAAGAGCAACTCCATGAGAGGTAAGCAAGTGTTGGGGGGGGAACCTGCAAGCCCCAAAACACAGCATGGTGTCTGGGAGTGAGCAGCAGCTTATGTATGTCCCTTATGCTGCAAGCCAAGGACAGCTGAGCTGCCTGGGTAGTACATTAGCTAAAGAATCATGGCTGGATGAGGCCAGTGCTGGCAGGGAGAGTAAAACCAAGTTTATTTGCTAGAGCAAAAGTTTGGGACTCCATCAAGCACTGGCATAGAGCTGAGAAGGACGGGGTGGTTCAGGTAGCCCCAGGCTTGCTGGTCATTCAGCTCCCCCCTGGACAGAGCAAACCAGCTGGGCACGCAGAGAAGTGAACTTGCATAGGAGTTTGTAATAAACCTTGTCTGATGCCTTGTCTTTTCTTTTCCTCAGGGAGACAAGCACCAGTGAGACAGCTGAATACTTGTAGCAGCTGCTGGACCTCAAGGCCTCATCTGTCTGACTGCAGGATTCCCTCCTCACTAAGCAACTGAGGGGATCTGGCAGGAGAGGACACTGCATTCAGACACTCCTAAACTGGCCTTGGGTTCAGCTCCTCCCCTTTCCCATGCCCCCTCTTAGTACTGATCTCTCTGAGGGGAGTCACAGGACTGCCAGAACCAGCAATAAACGTCTGGTGAAGCCCTGGGACACCCTCTTCTCCTGGCCTTACCTCCTGATTAGATGAGCACTACCCTATGGATGTGGGCTCACCTTGGAGTGGAGGGAGATCAGAGGAAGCCCTCAAACTGTTCAGCTCACTCCCCAAAGCCTCCAGACCAAGGGGGCTGTCCCCAGGTACATACCCCTTGGCTACATCAGATGCACGTGAAGGAAAGAGAGAGAATGCTGGATTGACTGGCCTGCCTGGGGGGCTTAGGAGTGGGTGATGCTGGTGCTGAAGAGATGGCTCTGGAGAGTTTGAGCTCATTCCTTCCCCTCCATCTGTTAGTATACTTCTGCTTCTATTGAGAGAAAACCTAGATCTTCCTTTGCTCTAGTTTTCTCTTGATGGACATGCCAATATAACTTCCACACCAACTATCTGCAAAGATCTGCACACAAACGGAGTGGGGGAGACAGATCCCAGACATAAACCACCATAAAAATCAGTCAGCAGCTTCTGGGCACCCAGAGCTCTGAAATAGAAAACAATTTCCCCCCACAGCCCACTTCTTCCCATGCTCAGCACCCTTGCTTTGGCAAGGGTGGTGTTTCCCTTTCTGTTCCCACCTTGGGCCCTACAGTGCAGTGCTAACCAGGTCAGTGGCCTTTCCACTTTCCATTCTGCAGGCCTCATCCTTTGAGACTAGGTGAGAGAACCTGATCCCCATCCCACTTCTCTATCCCCAATTCCGCTTCATGCCAAATGGGGTCTTTCTAGGAACTTCCAAGGAGAGCTCTGAAGACCATTGGAGGGGTGTTGGATAACCATTGTTCCCCTCACATCCTCCATGTGCACAGCAGTGTTGTGAAAGCCACTGAGGACCTACTGGTATCTCTGGTGACAGGTACATCTGTCAGGAAAGAGGTGGCACATTGGAATTGGCCAGGGTTACCAAAGACTGTTTTAGACCTCTTTTAAGTGCTGGCACCAAAGTTAGCAAACTCTTCCCATTCCACCCTTCGGGCCAGACCTGCCAAATTTGGTGCTGAAATGACCTCATCTCAAGCCTATGCCATCCTCTTTAGCACCCAGACACCCACTTCTGACCCTTTTTCTTCCCCAGCAAAAGCCCTGCTGAAAGGCTCCAGTGTCTCCTCACTCTGTTCCCTCAGCTGCCATTTGATGGAAGGACAATGTGGGACATGAGTGTGGGAGATCTGGGATGTGGCTGCTTGCCCCGTGTTTGTACCTGTGCACTCTGGCAGGTCTCACAGCAGGTTCCTCTTTGGCTTCTCTTCTGGACTCACTCTGCACTGCCCCAACCTCTCCTCACCCCCCAGGCTGTGAGTGGAGAGGGCTCCCTGGAGAAGAAGGATGGGATGGTTCTTGCTCAAGGACTGGGAGAAGCAAGGGAGGAGCCCTCACATCCCTCTTTTCTCCCTTTTAAAACCTATTTTGCTCCCTGAAGCCATTCAGGACAAATTTGGACACAGCTAACTGCAACCAATGCGTGGCCAGTGGGTTGAGGAAGAGGAAGGCCTTCAGCATAGCCCTGCTCTTTCTGAGGTTCCCACAGGACCCGCAGGTCAGCAGATACCACTGCACTCCCCATCCTTCATCCCAGCACAAAGAACCACTGCCGGGTCCAAGCACGCCCTCCTCCACCCTGCCACCTCCACTGAGCATGTTCCCGTGCCTCCCACTCCCACGTTGTACAGAGACAAGAGCAGAACTCGTTTGTACATAATGAACCTTATTTTGTATTATTGCCGATCCCTTAAGATATTGTATTTTGGAGACTCTCAGATCCTATTTTCAGTATTGTATTTTATTAAGAATTAGTGCGGGCTTGGCATCTATGAACTTCTTCCTTGTTAGCAGCTCACTTTCTCCTTATACTCCAGCAGCTGCCTCTTCCCTCCTGGTTTTTGTTCTTTTTGTTCTGGTTTGGTCTTTTCTCAAGCCACCTTTTCCTCTCCTCCTATCCCTGGCTCTGCATTTGCTTAGTGAAGCAAAATGAAAAAGAAAATAAAAAGATGCAGCATCAGCCCTGGGTTGATGGGTTCTTTCCTTGAGGCATGGTTGTGCCACCAGCCCATATGCAGAGCTCCTCACCTCCTGCTCCCCCCACTGTTCCATGTGCAGGATTGGTTCAGTGCTGGGACCTCGTGCTTGGTGTCAGGGGTTAAAAGCAAACTTGGATGGGATGTTTCCAGCAGCGCTGTGGTTTCTGCTGCAGTTCTGAACAAGTCAGAACTGTTCTGCCTCAGTTTCTTCTCCCCCTCATAAATAACCACTGACATTATCCTCTTGGGTGGAAGAAGATCATGGAAAAGAGTTTATGAGGTGCAATGAGCTCCTCTGATGAAGGGGCAACAAAGACATTGGTAGTAGCTCCATGACTCTGGTCCCATCCTGTCTGAAAGTATGCTTAAATCTTTGTTAATGGTGAAAGCAGAGCAGCAGAGCTCAGATTGGCAATGACTTGGGACCTCTGACAGCCCATTCACATCTGCAAACACTGCTGGGGTTCCTGATTTTGCATGAAACACGAGGCAACAGAGGGCCTAGAAAGCAAATCTTCGTTTTCTAGAAAGCTCCCTTTGGGTCTGTTAGAATTTGGCCATTGAGACAACTCCTTGCAATGAGGCCTCTACATCTGCAAGGCAGCCCAAGCAGGAGCCCCTCTCAGAGATGCTAAAACGTGGCTCCATCTCCCACCTCCAGCAGGGCTGGTGCAGCAGGACTCTGCTGCAGGAGGAGGTTGAGTCTTCCAAAGATCTCTTTCTGTGGATTGTGATCTCTCTGTGGAGAGAGCAAAGCACTGAGCTGTTGCCACCCTGCTGTGACAGGGCTGGCACTGAATTGTGGCTGGTGGAGAGGAGCTCTCTCCTCTCAGAGGGGTTTGACGTGGGGTCTATGCCAGGTTATCCTGACCCAGGTTTTACAGAGCTCTATTGCCCTACAAACCCCCATGGATGGATTCAAGAAAAGCCTGACCTTGCTCTGCAGTTTTGTCCTGCACCAGAACGAGTTTTAAGTCGAGGGTCTGAGGTTTTCCCTGTGGCACATTGTCCAAATCAGCTTCCTATCCCTGCATCAGTGTGATGCTCCTTCCCGCATCCTGCGACCAGGCTTCTCTGCAACCACCAGATCCCGTCTGAGCGAGGGGCTCCTGCTTTGCTGCCCCTGTGAACCATCACCCAGGCCCATTGTGGCCTGTACCCTGCATGCACCCTCCAAAACACCAAGGGAGATGGGTGCAGGAGGGGAGCTCTTAAAAGGACAAGTTCTCAGGCTTTGGCTCCTTTAACACTGATGCAGCTGGAGCAACCATAACTCCCATCCATCAGGAGCAAATTACCCTTCTATTGACAAATCCTCCTAATCTACAGTCTACCGGATAGCTGAGCTGCTCAGAGCAGGCACATCAGGATCTTTTGATCCCTGCTATGCCTCCTGAATGGAACCAGCCAATCACACCTACCAGTCTGGCTCATTAGATTAACTGGAGCAGGACGAGAGGGCACCACCTTCTTTATAGTCACCTTCAGCCTCATTCAGTTACACTGGGTCTGCTCTAAATGCCTCCAGCCAAGTCCTACCACACCAAACTGGGCTTTTGCCCATTTGGGACCACATTTCCAGCAAGCCTCTGCACTATCGATACGTTCAAACCCTGAACAAAAGAACACCAACAGAACATGGGCTTTGTTTTTCAGAGACAAATTATTCCCAACTGTTCTCTGTTACCAGGCCAACTTGATAAGAGAAAAGGGAACAGAATTGGCTCCTGCAGCTCCCTGGGCCACTGGCAGTGCGTGGCGGGTATATTGAGTTGATTACAGAAGGATGCCTGGATTAGGGCTCTCAGGAGGGCATCTCCTCTTGCTGTCACGTTTTGGGGCTGTGCAGGGAGTCCTCACATGAACCCACCATGGGATTGGCAGGCTTCAGTCACGCTGCATGGCAGCAGCCTGGGCTTTTGGACACCTTCTGTGGAGAACAGGGTGTTTGCACCTCCTGACACCCCCCAGGTACTGAGGGCTTGTTAACAGTGATGGAACTTAACCCAGCCTGCCTCAGCCTCAAATCCCTGTGGGTTTTCTAACCTGGAGGCTCAAACAGTGCTTGCAGGTGAGCAGGGTGGAGGCTCCTCTTCTTGTGCCCAGGGGAGGCATAAGCTGAGGGTCTTGGACTCCTCCCAGAGCTTTACTCACTAGGAATACTGCTTCCTAGAGAGCCCGTGTCCTGCCTGTGCCTGCAAAAGCGAGGATGGGGTTTGTATGATAACACCGAGTGTACTGGCACCATCCCGTGTGCCCATGCAGAAGGAATCCCTTCCCAGGTCCCAGGAGCAGCCTTCTGCCTGTGCTCCAGGTAAGTGCGTGACCTGGTGCCAGAAGGACAGGACTGACCAACCCCACCACCCAGCCACAGCGTCCCCAGCAGTGTCTGCCTGCACTTTGCAGGTCCTCAGGGAGCTCTGATGGCATCCTCCAAGGGAAGGATGCCCCCATTAGTGACAGACATGTGAAACATCCTGGGTGGGCACAGAGGGATGCAGAAGCCTGAGCAAACCTTTTCCTCCCATCATTCAGGCACATTCTCTTATGTCTCCTCTCCTCCACATGCAGAAGATCTGGATGCACAGCCTGTGTGAGAGCCCCACTCTTGGACACATGGGTAGAAAGGGATGGTAGCTTCTCCCCAGAGAGATGCTTTATGTAGCACAGGATCATCCCCCATGGGAAGGCAGAAGGCACCCACTGCCCTGCTGCTCTCTGCCTCAGAGGTGCTGTGACCCTGTGCTCTGCTCTGCCTGCCCTTGTGAGCTTTCCTGCAATAGGGCCTTTGCTTCCCTCCCAGAACCTCCTGTCCTATGGCCCTGATGCAGCCCCAAGTGGCTCTCCCCTCCTTCCTGCACCGTGTGCTCCCCCAGCCTCCAACTGACATCCACCCCAGCCTGCCCATCCCCTTCCTCAGCCACTGACTCCAACCAAGACCGACAAGACATAAGCTTGCCAAAACCCGAGAGCATGAGCGGGCCTGCATCCTGCATCCTCCCTACCTCCTCTGCGCAGCTCAGCCAGTGCAGATGAAGGTGGCTTTCACAGCACATGGCCATCAGGGCACCTTCAGGCTAGGGCAAGCCCCAGGGCAGGCAGAGAAGCATCAGTGGGTGCTGAGAAGGTGCCACACATCCCTCTGCACCACCTGGTACCCGCTGCTTCTCCCTTCCCAACAGCCAGCTCCCAGCATCTGCTGTGCCTGTGGGTGGCAGGAGGACACGGAGCAGCGCCGTGCATGGGTGCAGGCAGCACTGGCAGGCTCCCGGGCAGGTCTCCATCGCAGCAAGTGAGGATGAAGCTGCTTCCCCAGGGCCAGCTCTGCCCATGCTCCGGCTTCCAGGGGGAACAAAGCCCCTGTGGGGGCTGGAGGGGCTGAGTCATGCAGCGAGGAGGGTGCAGGGCTCCTGCAGTCACGACTGTGCGGAGGAGTGGGCCCGGGGGCTGCCTTGCCCGGGGATGCACAAATCAGGTGCAGGATGGGGACATGTCACCGTGACATTTAGGGCCAGACAAGGGTTCTGTGAGCTCTGTCTGGGTACCTGGAGCCCTGTGGTTACCGGGGAAAGGAGCTCTGCTCCAGGCCCTGCTGCTTCCCTGGATGGGGTCAGGAGTGTGCCCTGCCACAGGGCTGCATGGAGGTGGCAAGAGGGATGAGCTGCTCCTGACAGAGTGGTAAAGCCATCAGAGCAGGCTGAGGACACATTAAAGCTCCAGTGGTGCCAGCCCTTCATGGAAGACACTGGGATTAGGGGTGACAGCACCGTGTTCTTGATGTACTGCTTGAACACAGGTCCTTGTTGTGGGTAACTGATGCACAGGTGGCTCTTGCAGACCCACATCTTAAATTTTCCAGTGCCCAGCAGGTAAAGCCTCCGCATGTAAATCTGGGGCAGAACAAATCCAAACCAAGCAGCCAAGCACATATGGGAGCATTGTGGGGATCTCTCACCTCAGCAGCACTGGGACAGGCAAGGCTGAGGCAGTCCACAGCTGGGACTGGGGCCACAAAGTCAGTCCAAACCCAAGGCAGACGATGATGCCATGCTCCTGATGGATGTGGGCAGAGGGCAGGTGGGCCTTTCTACCTCTGGGTGCCAGGCTTGGAGGAATAATGCCTTGAATCAGTAAAAAGCAGGAACAATGTGGCTTCCCGAGCGGCAAGGACCTGAGTGAGCAGCGCTACAACCATACCTCTCCTTGGGTACCACTGCCCAAAGCTGGGGACCCCATCCCTGGACAGATCTCAACCGTGTTGGACTGTGAGCCTGAGCAGCAGGCACTTGGCTCTGCTGGGGCTGCTGCTTTCCAGGCTGCCTGACCCTACCTGGTGAGTGGTTGAGACCCAGCTCCCTGTGTGCCTTTGCAGGCAGCAGACGCTGTTGTTCCTGTCCTCTGCCTCCCTGGCCTGTGAAGGGTTAAGTGCCAGTTTCTGAGTGTCTCTAAGGTGACACCAGGCTGCCTCTGCAGCTCTCTGCATCCCCCCTCCCCACGCACACCCTCACGCTCACTTTCTGCTTTGTCTTTTGAGGGCTGCTGCAGGATCGGTGCACAGGCACCTTCCTCGCTGCCTACCTCTGCCTGCCTCTCCTGCTGCTGCTGCTGGGGACACCGAGGGACGTGCCTGGCCCAGGGGGACCTGGCTGGAGGTACCCCAAGCTCTTCATCACTTGCTGGGAGCATCCCCATCCCTGGACGTGCTCTCTCCTAGGACCCCATCCTCAGTAAGTGCTGTGTTGCCCACTGCCCTCACAGTGCCGGCACCTCCGAGGAGCAGCACCGTCTCCAGCTTTCCATCAGCTATTCCTGCGCTTTGCAGTGGCAGGGCAGCAGAGACAGAGGAAGGCTGAGCTGCGCTGGCTGAGCTGCCCGAACCGCTCTCAAGAGCCTGGTAAACACCACTGCAAAAAGTTGGACGCTGCTTTTCCTCCGTGCTTGTGGAGTTAAGGATTGTCCCACCGCTCCGGCAGGCAAAGGA